GAGCAACATTAAAGATAGATAGTAGGAAACAGGGAAATAGATCTCTTGCAAAAAAGAAGGGGAGCAAGAGATGGAGGGAGAAGAGGGAAGGAGATGCAAAAAAGAACAGATATGTGTTATGTACCTGTACTGACTTTCCACAAGGAATGCCAGCCATCATTACACACTGCAAACATGTACTGACAAAAATTTTAAAAATAAATCACATGTTGTGACACACACCTGTAAGCCCAGCACTGTGGGAGGCTGAGGCTGGAGGATCACAGATTCAAGCCCATCCTGGGCAACTCAAAGACTTAGCAAAACCCTTTCTCAAAATAAAAATAAAAAGTAAAAAAATGACTTGGAAGATAGCTTTGTGCAAAGGCCCTATGTTCATTTCTCAGTATCAGTGAAAAAATTGGAACGTATGTGAATATAGTGTGATTATCTCAGTCTTCACGACACCACCATATATAATATAAGCACTAGGTCGACCAATGTGGTGGCAACCTGACCACTTTACAGATTCCAGGCCAGTTATGTTTCACTACCACGAATGCCATATTATTTACACATCAAACATGTACAACAGATTTGGTTCTGAGTTTCTAGTGCCTTCCACAAATATATAAGGAAATCTATTGAATGATCCACTGGAATCATTAATTAAAACTCTAGGAGTTGCCAGAAGTTCTATTTGAGGGCTAAGAGGAGGAAAATTATGGACTCCTACATGAAGAAGTTTATGAATGATGAAGAAAACTATACCATGAAAAGCATCACTACAGGAAAAACAATCATGAATTTCTAGCATCTTTAACACAAATCAATTAAAATGATGGCATTAATTCAAGCTTTGCTCCTATGAAAGCACTGGTACAGAGCAAACAGAATGCTTTTAATAGTCTTGATAATTCATTGATAAAATTTAAGCTGTAGAGATGAATGAAAGTAATTCATACAACTTGAGCAATTGTATTTCAATCCCTTATCTTGCATCTACCTTGCTGATTAATACTGGCTGGCAAGAATTATATATATTCTGTGATGAGTAGAAGATCACAAATATTTGTGCTTCTAAGAAAGGACATAGGGGTTTTAAAATATGCACAATAGTAGGAGGGGGTGAAGGGAGGGCAGGGACAAAGGGAAAAAATGAGAACCAAGACCTGTCATGTAAAGGTTCGCGATCCCAATGATGAATGTAACTGTACTGTGTACCTAAAATGTACCAATAAACTCAATGAGAAAAAACATATGCACAATATGGGAACCTCTCAGAAGCTGAAATGCTTTATCAGAACACAGACCAGAAGAGATTATATTATATTATAGTACATTGTATTTATTATATTATATATTAGATCCTTCTCTCTATATTATGCAACTACAACTATATATTATATATCTTATATATGATAGATATACACATGTATATTACATATGAAATATACATATACATACATGTGTATATGTATGTATATGGTCAAAAGTTTCCTCAGAGAGAAAAACATGTGCATCTAACTAATACATGAGCAGAGTATGATTAAAAAGCCATCATCTTATTCTAACCATAACCATAAATCACTAAAAATAATAAAGGAATCATACAATATTTAACTTTATGCTGTAAAATTCATTTCCAGGTTGCTCAATAATTGTTGGACTCTAATTGGTCAATGAAATGGCAAAGCACAGTTTACTTTAAATTATGCTTTCTCATCACCATTTATTAGGCTCCATTCATGATGCCCCAATGACATTATGTGAGCAGTGTTTTTATTCTTTTTCCACAGACTTATAAGCTAAGCCCAAAGATCCCAAATAAATTGAAAAAGTGACAAGCCCTGTGAATAAGGGCCTGAGATGGTGATACTGGGTCTGTGATTATAAACACTGAAATACTGTGTCTCACTTTCAGTAGTTTATATCAGATAGAGATATTAATTGATTTTTGGAGCTGAAAAGAATCTTGAGATCATTTTATTTTTCCTTCTTACTTTACAGATGAATAAGTTCACATGCTAGTGATAGCATTAAAATAAAACAACTCTAGTATTTTTTTCTTTATAAAATTTCTTTATATAAAGATCACCTTAAAGTGAAGAAACATGGAACATAAGAAATTATCACTTAGTAATAAGCAAAATTATCTAATAATGTTTGGAAGGATTATTTCTGTACATAAATGACCATCATGGGATGATAGAATAACATAAGATTGAAATATTTTCTCTTTCAACACTGGCTGACAACTGAATCCCCTGTGAAAAGTAGTTGGCTGGCTAAGCACATTGAGTAACACTGCTAGTTGAGTCTCCACCCTTTATGCACTATCCCAAACTGTTTAGGGAAAAGTTCTCATTTTCATGGATTTTTCTTTTTCATTCAAATAAAATCCATATGATATGTTTTTTAAAAAAATTCCATACTGATCACATTATACTCAAATATTGTAGAGCATATATCTATACAGTCTACCTCCTCAGAATCTGCCATCAGGTAAAATACATAGGAGTTCTCATCAGCTCAAACCCTGAGAATCTTCTCTTCTTCAAATAAGGCAAACCTAATTATTTGAAATCTTCAAATTCTGTCATTATCCTGTATGTTCTGGTATATATTACTGAATTTACTAAAGGCAATTCTTCAAGATGTGGATAGAGCTCTCAGTTTTGTGGATGTGGTTCTATTGAGAGTACTGACTTATTGTACCATCCCTCTCTGCTGATACTTTCACCCAGTTTCCGAGTAGGCTTTGAAAATCATGTTGGAGAAAATTACCTTCAAAACTTGAACCATAAATTGTCTCTGCCATATTCATTATATTGCTATATCTAAAGTAATATTATCAATAAAAATAATCTGGAGAGTTTTTAAATGGATAAAATCATTCTTAAAATACAGCCAAAGGTTTTGAAGTAATAACGGTCCCTTTTTTTGTGTGTGTTTTTGTTGTTGTTGTTGTTCATGGAAGAATAGCAATAAAAAAGTAGATAAACACTTCAGTTCACAATGTAAGAAAAAAGTAGGTAAATACTTCACAGTAGAGCAAAGTTATGGTCTACATTGTCATTTAGACAAAAAGTTGACTGGGTAAGTCAGTGTTAAAAGAATGAAGGCAGTAAAATGATTTTAATTGTCAGAACAAGAAACAGTATATAGGATGTATCCTTTCATCCCACTTATGGTACATGCTTTAAACTTTTGTTAAAATGGAAGTTCTCTGTGGAGAAAAATTTGCATATGGATTTGCTATTTTTTAAATCCCTTTAACATCAAATGAAATATTAATTTTCAAAATAATCTCTAATGATTTAATAAATTAATAATGAGTGTTTCACTACCAGCTGATTAAAAAAGCCTTCCTAGCCATAAGTTATCAAGGTACATCTGAAAAAAAGCCAAATTCTTTGGGCTCACAATTGGAAATAGACTGCAGAACTTTGCATACATTCAAGCAGAAAAATGAGGTTAATCTATCAGGATTACTTAACTGACTAAAGAACTATGAAAAGTATTCTAAGATATAGTCAAAGAAGCAATTACATTTCACAGTGTCTTCAAATCATTTCAAATTTATCATATTTTAAGTGCCATTACATATTCGTTTTGATTGGAAGTGCCCTGTAAGTGATAGATGGTTTTGTGCTGTGCAAATTAGCAGTTTTCCCTAATTCTCTTCACATGACAGTCAATTTTCCCTATTATTTCTTCCAAGTTAACATAATAGCAACCCTTGCAAAATGTGAGCCACATGCCTCATTGTGCAGTTCTAGATTTAAATTTTATCATTCATGCTTTCATTTTAAATGTGATCAATTTGGTGCATTTTGCATGTAATTTCCCACCTATTACTCCTGAAAATCAATTTTTTCTTTTCATTTGGGACTATACCTCTGTGCATGGACAATTCAGTTCCCTTGAATCCGAACATCCTTTCCGAGACTGATGTGTGTGTTAGTGTACATGTATATTTGTCATTTGAACCTAAGTAGGCGGTTTTTTAAGTCATTCCTTCCCTTCTGTTATAGTGTGAGGCATATGAGACAGGCTGGAAGTAGGCATGTTCTTTTTTGAGAAGCCCACTTTTTCAGAGGAAAACTGTATGTGACTACTCCATTTTTGGTGTTCATGTGATGCTGTCCCATGTGTCTGTCTCCCTTTCAATAGATTAAATCAGATACCTTGTAACAGTTACTAGCCAGTCTCATAGTTCTTGGCAATCAAGGACTCTGAATTACTTTCTCTATGAATTTAGAAGGTAAGAAAAAGCAGTAGTTGTAAATGTTTCCATATTCTCTCACACAACTGAAGTATACATACACACACATACAACTTGTGATGCTCAATATATGACTAAGAACTGAGAAAAGCAAAGGTTGAAAAAGTAATAAAACTTTCTAAGACAGTCACCCATTCTCACATGCTCAAAGCAATGAAAAGCTACTAGTCTCATTAAGATTAATAACAGAAAAGAAGCTCAGAAGTACCAAGTTCCATTTTAAGTTCATTTTTTATATATCATATTTCTATTAGTGTCATATGTACTCATAAGGAGACACTGTTAGTCTTCACACATTATGCCTAACATTTGAATACACCATATATAAAGAAGCATGTTGAGTCATCACACACTAGATATAATAATTTTTTTAAATGTAAGCACAAGGTCCTGAGTTCGATCCCTCGTACCTAAAAGAAAATGTTAAAATGGTGTCTTAAAAGACAAAACTGCCATTAAGCAAATACACAGAGTATACAGACTAGCTGAAACATATTACATGTATTATATCATAAGGGAAAAATTATAAACTCAGTAATGAACTGACCATATGCCAAAAACTTCCCACAGTCACTTTGGGGGTCCACAAATTAGAGTAACTACTTAGTTTAACATCTGATTAAATTGAAGAAAAAAATATCTGCCTTCTTGGTATAAGGAAAGTAAGTTTTGAGACATAAAATTATATGCCACTTCATTGTAAAAATACAATTAAAATAAATTCAGTGTTTACCTCTGATGATTAAAAACCCACTGGATATTTCAGGAGCTCTTGCAGTTCATGACACAGCTTTCCAGTGGAACTGTTCAATGCCTACAAATACAAGAAATGTAAAAGAGAATATTGAGAAACATATGTCTTTGTAATTCATGATGATTAGCTATAAAAATTGTATTATCATTCCACACAGCCATTTAAAAAGTGCCTCCCTATGATTGTGGTTAGCACGGCTATTATTAAATACACAAAACAGAAATGAAAATTACTTCTACCTGGAACTTGTACAACTCTAGAAGAGACTCCAGATCAGGAAATACTACCAAAATAATCAAGTCACTCAACTCCAGGTTTTCTTTTAATTGGGAAAGACCGCTGTAGTATGAACAAAAGCATTTACAATTGAAATGTTTTCTCATTATACATGCATTACACCATAAACACTTTAGAGTCATAACAGTGTATAAGAAGTAGAGCATTTTGAATCTTGATTTAGTTTCTATCATCAATTACTTTAATAAGATTTTAGTAAGAATTTGTATATTGTATCTAGGATTTTATTACAATCCATTTCACTGATCTGTGAAAATAACTTTATAAAATTATCTTTTATTTATTAGTACACATTTAAAGTATATACTGCTTACATTCTTTGTGGGCAATTGATAAATGTATACAATACATATTAAATCATTTTTTAACCTTTTCACTTCTCTCACCCTTCTCCTATCTCTTGAATCCCTTCTATCTACTTGCAAAAAGAAATTAAAATGATAAGCAAGATATACAAATATTTTGTTGTTGCCCATTGTTACCCCATGCATCAGCACATACTATTGGGTAAAAGGAAATTGTATTGTCTTCCAGTCATATCAGTCCAAGCCTCACATGTGAACACAACTCACGGTCAGCACCATGGACATCTGAATACCTTCCCTTTTCTGTGTGCCCACCATTTCAATAAATCTCTAACCTATTAGCTACCTAAGAGCCAATATTATTTGAAATATGAGTCATACTAGAAAATATAAAAGAACCAACTAAATAAAGTGAATTAAAAGGAGATTGTTCACTAAAGAGAAGTGCAAGATGGCAAAGATATATAATTTAGCAGAAAAAGAAAGTAGGCAAAATAAGCTAATATAGCTTTGAAAGGATATAAATAAGAATAAAAATGTATAATTGATATTGTTTAATAAGAAAAAAGGGCTAAAGGTGTAGGGGAAGTGGGAGTAGTAGGGGAAAGGTATGAAGGGAACAGAAAAAATAAGAGAAAAAGAAAAAAATGGAAACAGTCTTTGTAAATAGGGTAGGGTAGAGTGGGTGAAGGGAGTTCAGGGGAATGGGGGGAAAAATAAGAACCAAGATACTCCATGTAATGGTACAAGATCCCGATGAATGTAACTGTATCGTATCCCTAAAATGTACCATTAAAGTGGTGGTGGTGGTGGGTTCTGTGGAGTGTTTTCTAAACAGAAGTTGAAAGAATATAATCATGTAAAGCAGAAATTTTCTGCAAGTATGCTGGACTAATAAAGTGCAAAAGTATGATTGCTAAAAAGCAAATGAAGAATTACAATAATGTTATATCATATTGTGTAAATCTGTGTTAAGTGGCAACATGTAAGATGAGATACCCAACCATACATGGTCATAGTTTATTTTTAGTAGTAGGAAAAATTTATTGAAGGAAAGAAAGCTTCTATCTGAGAGCGACAGAAGGGGGACTGGAAAGTGGATTGCCAGCTCGCAATCCACTACCAAGTAGGACAAAACTATTAGGCCAAATGGAAATATACAGTGTGGGCATGAGGTGGGGCAAAACCATGACGAAACAGTAAGATTACAAGGACAGTCTCCCAGGTAATATTGATTAAGTGGGGTCAAGTGGGGGAACAAATCACACGGCAAGTGTACAAGGATTTTCAGTAAAGGTGGGAGTCAGGGATATTTCCTGGAAAGGCTGAGTTAAGACCTTGGCCACACACCCAGGTGATTGAAACCTCTTTAGAGTATCAATCACTGCTTTACATCCCCAGGGAAAGCACAAAGGTATAGTGGCTTCTCGCCTTTTACAATTCTGGCCTTCAGTGAATGTGTCTTGATAGTCCATGTCGGCTCCTTCAGGGTGGGCCTGCCTAACTTCCTACAAGACAACTAATTAACTTAGGGATATGCAATCTTCCCCCCTCTGAAGAAGAACTCCTAACTTCTGTGAGAGGGCAGAGGGCAAAGACTTTGTGATACATTAAATCCTTTCACTACAATGAATTGAGGAAAACCTGGCAAGAGGATGGTAATCAAATCTTGTTCAGTCAAATATTATTGAGAGGGAATAGAGGAAAGGAATGAAAACTCAGTTTCATAAGAACAGGTGCATGTAGTTTAACTGAGCCAGAGCAATACTTAGACCATGAGGAACTGTACTCTCAACATTTTTACTGATGCATCCAATTTGAGGTAAGGAATAAAATTTAGACTAGAGAGAGAGAGAGAGAGAGAGAGAGAGAGAGAGAGAGAGAATGATTGATGAATGTGAATCTGAAAGCTTTTGGTAGTTAGAAAATACCTCAAGCCATATATAAAACAAATATCTGTCCAAATGCTTAGTGATCAATAAAACCACACCTAATGTAGTCAGGATACCTAATAAAATAATGTGAGCCAATCTCATAATCAAGATCATACATAATAGTAAAGAGAGAAAATAATGCTAAAAAGGGTCAATAAACTTGCTTTCCTAGAACTTTAGAAGGATTACTATTTTCAAATCTACAGCCAGGCCTTTCTTAAAGCCCATTCAAACAAAAGTTTTCTGATTTTAAGGCTAGAGATTTGCCACTGTAATTTATAAAATTGTAACTTGTTTTCTTTGATTCTCCAGAAGATGAGTATAATGATTTCCAAGGTAAAGCATTAAAGGTAAAGCATTTGAATTACATTAAAGTAATTCAAAAAGGAATAACCAGATCTTTGAAGTTTATGGTGGTATGTTAGAAGTATCTGACAACAAAGGAAAAAAAATAACAATCTTCATGGACTTCCAGTGCTAGTGAAAGTTTTAAAGGGAAAACCACAAGCCTACAGTGTTAATATCTCTAAGTAAAAAACACCCTGTCATAATGGATTTATATTTATAAGTGTTTCAGCGGGAAACAATTGAAAACCTCTGCTTTAAATGAAAGGGTAGACAATTTGACCATTTTTCTCAGTCTGTTCATTACAAGATAGAAGAAAATAAGATTTTTTTCAGGAATAAAACACATATATAGTACACAGCAAGTTTCTTCAAAAGGTAATTTCTTTATTGAAATTTCTTTTTTTTTCTATTATAAATAATTAGTAGTATAGGCCATAAAAGCAGAGAAGATAACGTTACCTAGCTTCTTACGGTAAAAAGTTCAGGACATAAATTTCTTAAATTATCTTGTGAGGCTAATATAACACAGTATCATATAAGGAACATCTCAGTGGTCTGTAGTGCCATGCTCTGGAGCTGTGTCGATGTTTTGGAAAGTCACATTTCATATCCTAGAGAAATGGTTTGCCCACAAGGGTATCTTTTGTATATTGAGAATAAATGCTGTGAATTTTTCATATGGGAACTATATCTTTTCTCAAGCTTTGATATCTTTTTCTTTTTAGCCACAGAATACAAGGAAGAAGAGAAACAACATGGCTACTATGTGCCTAGAAATTGTTCAGTGATTTAAAAACATTTACTTCATTCATCATGAATTAAATCTTATGAGATACTGCTGTCCTGTTTTACAATGCAGAACTGAGGCTTAGCAAGTGATGTCGTAATTTTCTCAAGATTACATATTCTTCCATTACTTCTCACTACCACCAAAGTATCAGGAGTAGAGAGCTTTGCCATGAAACTAGTCACAATAAACGTTAAATTCAACAGAACAGTGCTAACAAAACCTGAAACCTGTAATCAGTACAATAGACCAGAACTAGGTGTATTATCAACATTTCATGGTTATTAAATAAGATTGAAGCTTTAAATAAAAGCTGTCCCCTTCTTTTGTATGATGTTTTGCCTTTTTAGAAAGGATGATTATTAAAATGTAATAAAGTTGGTATTTAATGCTAAGGTAAATTTAAACCAGAATATGTATAAAAATAACATCTAAAATTTTAAACAAGAAATTTGGCATAAACAAACAACTGATTAAATTCATATGATAGTTCTAACTGGCATCATATAAAGGAATGTTCTTCAAAACACAGTCATTCTACATTACTTGTCATTAGGATGGATAAAATGGAATATACTAGTCATTCAAAATTAATTCAAATATAACAAAATAGCTATATAGGTTTTAATTCTAACATTACAAAATAGTTATAAGAATTAGGGTATATAATTTATAATTTTGAAGTAAAAATTAGCTACTATTTGCCAGAGCAATGGAGAGAAGTTTTGGAAAGATACAGAAGATAGAAAAATGAAATTCACTGAGCAAGTTTTAGCTGTTATTAACTGGAACATCTTAATATAAAAACATGTACTTTGCAAGTTGTAAAAAGCACATTGACAGTATTGATTGAGCCTCTCTAAAGATTCTACTTAAGACATTACCACAAGCCATACAAGAACAAAAACTTGCACTTCACATTAAATTCTATTTTATTATGAAATTCACATTGCCTGTTCTTCAATAGAGAAAAGTAGTAACAAATGAACACATTTTTTATTCTTCTTTACTTTGAGCTCCTTGGTTTTAAACTGCCTTCTTTGGAGGCTCCCAACAGAATGACGAGGGTTTCATTCTGGATTGCTTTGGTGGCACACAGTTCCTTTTGTTCTTGACTTTCTTAGAGATATACACAGTAAAAATATCAGCATTTGTATTCACTTTAATCTTTCAAAACTGAAGAGTGAAAGCAATACCCTGTTATCGTTTTATTAGTCAATCAAGTTAAAACTTTTTATTCTGTTTAAATTTTCAACAAGTTGAAATTCTACTACAACTACAAATTTGTGCAACTGGACCACATATCTTGTCTGGTAAGACATTTTTATAGTATATATTCCTTTAAATTATAAACAAAAAGGGCTGGGGATTTAGCTCAGTTGTGTTACT